AAAGCAAAGGAGAAATAAAGAAAAGAAAGGAAACTCAAGAACTTGTGAACAGCTTCAATCATTCAATAACTCTAGGTAAGATTTCTAACTCCAATCTTGTAGTAAATCCTTCCTTACATCTCAAATCAAGATCAAATATAATTCAATTGTATGTAAATCTACATATAATGAAAAGAAAAGAATTAAGTCAAGAACTAAGAAATTAATTTGGAAAATTTATCAAGTGGGTTTAATTTGTGTTATTCCTCATGAATTTGGACTTCATCTTTACATGCATCAATAAATTTTAAGAGATTTGAAGAATTAATTTCATGTTTGGGGATAAGAAGAAGAAGTTTTGGTAAATTATAAATTCATGAACATTTTGAGCTTAATTTTGAATTAAAGGGATTATCAAGTAGATGGTTTGATTTTGATTATAATTTCACACATGCAAATACTTTTCTAAGAGTTTTATAATTTCAATTTCATAATTTAAGGAGAATAGAAAAGAGTTAGAAATCAATTTTATGGGATTAGAAGGAAATTGACAAGAAAATGATGAATTGGGGCTAAGATCAAGTTTATGAAAGTTAATTTAGAAATTAATTATCTTTGGCTTGATTTTGTAGAATCATCCTATAATACTTGAGATTTGAGATTAAATTCATAGAATTAGGATGAAATTGGGTTTTAAACATAAAATGAGTTACATGCATGTTCATGATTAAGGAAGCTAATTATTTTGGATTTGCTTTTGAATATCTTACATGAGTTAGAGTCTAGTTCCTACATGCATGAACAAATTCTACAATTTTGTTATTCTAATTGTACATGCATCATGAATTAAGAAAGTTATGAAATTAGTCTCATAGATTTTGTACGAAATAAGGTTTTAAGTAAGAAATTAAGTAGACTCATAGTTGCGGAAATTAATTTGGAAAATTAATTGTTTTTGATTTGATTTTGTAGTGTTTTCTTGTGATACATGAGTTTATTCAAGTTCATATTTTGAAGAGATATAGGAAACGCTTTAAGAAAATCAAAAATTTGGAATTAATCCTAAAGTTTTGATTTTATAATTAGATTTTTAATCCATGCATGTAATGTAATTTCAAGAGTTTGGAAAGTCTAATTCATATTTTAAAATAGTGGGTTTGATATAAAGAAAATGAGTTAAACTAAAATTGGACAATTGGAGCATGATTTTGAATAAATGGTTTCTAATTGAGAGTGTTTACTAAATTATACAATGGTTCTCCATATTTGTGTACCAAAAATACAAGTTTTGAGGTTTTGAATATCAAGCTTGGACTTCGATTACAATTATGAAAATTGCAGAATTCACACTGTCTGCTCGAGCGAGGAAAGTCTCATTCGAGCTTGAAAATCAAGCTCCCAGAAGTTTTTCAAATTTTACAGTCTGCTCGAGCGACCAAAGTGGTGCTCGAGCGAAGACCCTATTTTCAACATATTTTGAAAAACTGCATTTAGTTCACATTTTTATTCTCATCTCTTTCCAAAGCATTCTAAACATGATTTATGGCTTAATAAAGATTAATAAGCTAACAATCAACATTAATTAGTTGATTAAAAGAATAAGTCATTAACTTAGTAGTACTTGATTAAGATGCCAAGTAAGAATTGGTTTATTTAGAAAAGAATGATTTAGTAACGAAAGGATATGTGAAATAAGAATCCGATTCATTGGAATAAAGGAAGAATACACGTAGTAGAATCTTGGACAACTTAGATTGAAAAAGACAAGAAAAGTCAAGCTTGATCAAGGAATTGATATTGTGTTTCGATGTGTATATGTTACGTGTTTGTGTAGGTCACGCGCTATTGTCTGCCTGATTTGTGATCTGTCTGATCTGCTTCTGCAACTATCTGTGAGTAATAACTTTGTAAAGTTATGTTTAATTTTAATTATTTTCTGATGATACGAGATGATAAGTTTCTAAAATGTTATGTTCTGTTTGAATGAATGATTGTCCAATTTTCTTTGAAACGTAATTGTGGTATCCTTAGCAGAGGCCCTCGCCCAGGGGACATAATACTGTGGCTTATGGTCATGAGGCCCTAGCCCGGGGGTTAATACCGTGGCCCAGGCCCTCGCCTAGGGGAAAGAATACCGTGGCCCAGGCCCTCGCTCGGGGGAAACAATACTGTGGCACAGGCCCTTGCCCGGTGGAAATAATACCGTGGCCGATGTATGAGATATGTTCCCAGTACCGGAGGTTCCATTATGGAACTTGACATGCTTGACCAACATGATATGTTACGCTAAAGGAAGTACCACACATGATTTGAATATGAATATGAATATGACTCTATTTCTGATACGAATGCGAACATGAACATGACTATGTTTCTAATTTGACAAGAGATTTGAAATCTAATTTCTGAATTCGATATGGACATCATTCATTAAAACCCTTTACTATGTTATTACTCATTGGCTTTAGCTCACAGTATTATTTATGTATGTAGGTGAACAGGCGCGTGACCAGGTTTAGAGGCATCTGCCTGGAATCTATTTTTGTCAGCAAACCTATGTGCCTCCCGTGGAGGTTCCGAATATGTCAAGTGACTATGGCTATGTGATTTTAAGTTTAAGTTCTATTTCCTTGTTCGGTTAAACAAGTTTTTGTGTATTTTGTAAATAGGGCCAAGTCCCTTTTTGTCTAGCTTATATATGTATATATATGATGATGTGTATATGTATGTATATAAAGTTTAAAATTTTTCTGTATCATATAAGTCTGCACAACTCAATGGATGTTGTATAATTGCTATTTGCTTCCGCAGTCCCTAATTATATGTTAGTCTGCTAAGAGGCCTTTGGTAATCCAAGGATTACTGGCCGGTTACGACGTTAAACCTATAGAGGCGGGTTTGGGTCGTGACAACATGCTTGGGAATGAAGTTGGTTTTGCAACTTGTAAGTTCCAAAACTTGGCAGAATTTTGGATAGCATTTCAACCCAGGCCGCTCGAGCGGCCAACCTTCATATGCTCAAGGATGCACACTGCTTGACCACCGCTTGTGCGGCCAAGCCACCGCATGAGCAGCCAAGGCCACCGCACGTGTAGCCAACAGGGTAGTCTCAATTTTGTTTTTCGCTTCACTTTTCTACTTTTCGGGCCTCCATTTGCATGATTTTAACATGTTTTCATGTGCAATCACATTCATGTGCATGTCATAAACACGAAAGAAACTAAGGAACAAAAATGTAGAACCGAGTGAGTGAACAATGAATAAGAATCGAATTTGTAAGTAACCGATTGATTGATTGAACTGAATATTAAGATTATTGCGCTTGAATTTATTTGTTTAGGTCGGACGCCGCATCGTAGTGCAACTTTAGCATGTATTTTGAGCAACCCACTGTAAGTAACAATATTGTAAAGCTACATTCAATTATAATTATTTTCTGAATAATTAACTGTATTACTTTCTAAAATGATATTATTTACTGAATAAATGTTTGTCTTATTTTATGAACTGTACTCGTGGAATCCATAGCAACTGATTGTTACTATTACTACGACTGTTACTACTACTGTTACAAAGATCTCTGTCCGTTCCAATATTTGGAACTATTGTACTGTATTGATGGCCATCAACTAACTGTTCAGTCTTTTAAGACCTACTATACTATTCCGCTATTGGATGTACCACATATGATTGCTATGATTTCTAAATAACTAATATGACATGAAATATGAGACATTGAATAGAATTATATGAGTGTGATTGTAATTGTGTTGTGCTCGACTTTATTTGTTTAGGTCGAACGCCGCACGAATAGCACGTGTTTTCAGGAGTCCACTGTGAGTAACACTATTGTAAAGATATGTTCAAATTGTATTTTTTTTCTGATTGATAAATTATATTGGTTTTTGAAGTGATATTTTTATTGATTGAATGATGATCCTATTTTCTGAACTGTATTTGTGGCATCCATAGCATATTGCTATTGATATTGCTATTGTTATCGCTATTGTTACAGAGATCTTTGTCAGTTCCATTTCTTGGAACTATTGTCTATTGTTTGATGGCCATCAATTAATTGTTCGGTCTTTAAGACCAATTGTATCGTTGCTATTGGATGTACCGCGTATGACTTATATGAATTTGAATGATTGTTAAATTGAATGATTGAATGATTGATTGACACAATATATTGATTGAGAAAATGTTTTATTGATAATCGATTGTTTCAAATATTATAAGGACATCATTCATAACCCCTTTACGCAGTTGTTATTCACTAGGCTCTAGCTCATTGTTTATTTTATATATATATATATGTAGGTGATGGGCACCGGATCAAAGTTAGCGGCGTCGACCCAAACCTTGTTTTTGTCAAGCCAACTACTGTCCCTCACCGCGAGGTTTTGAACCGTTAATGTCAAGGCTTGTTTTTGGGTGATCTAAACCCACCCTTTTGAAATGTTATATGAAGTCAAGTGAATGTTTTATATTTGTTTTGGACTTATGTGAATATTGGGATATATATATATATATATAAGTTGTTTGTTCATTTAAGTCCTCATAGCTCTTTGGACATCATGTTTTAATATTTACAGGCTTCCGCCGGCCCCGCTTATTGTATAATTGTTATTACTGTTAAGCAAGCCTTTGGTAATCACAGATTACTGGCCAGCTACAATGCTAAACCCTTAGGGGCGGGTTTGGGTCGTGACACTTGTAATAATTAATTACTTAGCTCATTAATTCTGTATTGTAATTAATCAGTTAGTTTTTGTCTTAAATCGTTAGCATAGCTAATTAATTTTGTGTTGTAATTAATTAGTTTGTTCTAATTTGTAAATAATTGCCTAGTGTAGTTGATTCATTTATTTTGATATTGTAATAGTTAATTAAATTGGTAATAAGCTAGGACATTCATTCGGACCCTTCCATGCGAGGGTAAAATGTAATAATGTGTATGTCTTCCAAACCCCATTTCTTTCTCTTTTTTATTTACCCGCTTATAATGGATAGCGTGGAGCATCAAGTTTCTTTTAGCATTTTTCATGACTTGCATCCATTTGTCTCGCATGCATAGGGTCCGGTTCATCATTCTAACGGCATTGTCATTCATTACTTTCTTGAATACGTGCACCACCGCATGCCATCAAAGAGATTCACATGACATGTGAAAACTGAACCTATTAGTTGCATTATGTATGTGTTGAATTAGTCATATTGTATTAGTTAGGATCATGCATTTTTTTCTAACTATTTTCTCTCTTCTTGGCTCGCCTCGGATATTGGGGTAAGCATTTTTTGCTTTAGCATATTGCCTGCATGTGATTGTTTCCATATCAAGCATGTTTTCAATGAGGCTAAGTGCTTAAGTGATATATTTGTTTGAATGTCTGTTGTAGACGCGCCCGTGAGGGCCCCACTCTACAGTTCGGACTCGATTTGTGCCACGGTTCTTAATCTGAACCAAAGAGTCCAAATCCGGCAAATCGTTTTGAGAAAACCGATTTTTGAGAAAAGAAGTGTCAAACATGGATTGCTTTGCCAGATACAGAGTCGCCACCTAAATATTTTTTAATGGGGGAATTTAGGAAACCCTGACTGGACTGCTTTTCCAGATACAGAGTCGCCACCTAAATATTTTATTTGGGGGAATTTAGGAAACCCTGACTCGGTGCCAAAGGCCACGTGTCCGTCATCACCAAAGTTGCCTCGGTTCGAGAAGTGCGATTGGGGAAGGTCAGCTATGAGCACCCCCTCTCTCCCGATCCGAAGATCGGCCTCCACTAACCATGATATCCGATTTTGAAAACGTTATGTGTTCTTATTCCAGTTAATTAGCTAGAATTACTATGTGATGCACACAGCAAAACAAGTATAGACTAGATCGCCTAATTTGGAACAAAGCATTACATATCCGTTGGTTAGGAAAATAGTTTGGGATTTTGCTACTCGTAAGTAGGCTAAAACACGGATTTCAACGAGTTGTTCCAACTCAAACAATCCAACCTTCACCCATAGGCATTCAGGCAGTAATATCACATAAGCATTTAGCCGCATGGTAAGCATGCCGTCATGTTAACATTCACACTCATGCAAGATGCTAAAGCATAGATACTTACATCGTACTCCGCGCCAAAACAATAAGCTAGTTAGCAAACATGCGTGATCCTAGTTCATGTCAAAGTGGCTAATGTAACGCATACAGAATGCAATTAGGATAGGCTCGGCTAATCCTAAAATGGCATGTGAAATGCAACCTTTGATGCACGTATTCAAGTCAGATTTGAAATACTTATGCAGTTAGCATGATGCGCCGAGCCCGGTGCATGCAATATTGATGAATGATGCACGCATGCATAGCATAAGGTATGCTAAATTAAACGTGCCCTAATACTAACCATCAAAGCAGGTAAGTAAAAGGGAGAAAGAAGTGGGGGTTGGAAGACATGCACACACGCACCCACACTTATTACAAATTTGCCCTCGCTCGGAGGGACCGAAATAATAATACAATTAATTAACCTACAAGCTAATTAATTATTACAGACTAATTAAATTAGCTAAGAAAATTAACTAATCTAATTTAAGCAATAAACAGCAGCCTTAGGAAGAGGGTCCAAATGCAATGCGCGCTTGGTTCCGCTCGGAAAGCCACTGCCATGCACAAGATGCATCTGCTTTGACTGTCATCCTCCTCCGAAGACTGCACAAGTCCTAGGATATGCTCTCTGAATGCTGTGGAACACCACCGGCTAAGGGGATTGGTCACCGGCCATAGAGGATGGTCACCAGCCACTGTTTACACTATCAGCCACTGATGGATGGTCGATCGGCACTCCATGTAGCCGACCGGCCAAAGCTTCCTGCAAAATCTGTTTTTGACAGCAGCAGAGGGCAAAACATAGAATGTCAATGCATTTCAAGCAATGTATGCACCAATCACACCCCTTATCATATTTATGACTCAGACGGGTATGGTCCTCGGTTCTCAGACCATCAATCGCGCATTTCAATGCATGATAGCGCAAGAAACCAAATGTGCACTTTTGATTTCAAATGTCATGCAATGCACATGAACAAACAAATGGAGCTCAACCTCTATCACAAGCAATTCAAGAGGCAAAGCATGCATGCCGATGTAATGCAATCCTAAGCATGTGAGCCTAAGTGTGCAATATGGGCATGCAAGCAAATGATGATGCTAGGCACACAACCTAAGGAATCAATCATGCAAGGCATGGAATGACAAGCATGTAACATGTAATATGGGCATGCAAGTAGGCAAGGCATGTGACAACATGTTGGGCAACTTAACCAAGAGAATGCATGCCAAATGCAAGTGATTTCAAGTATGCAACACATGCAACCAATTCATGCAACCATGGAGTAATGTAACAACATTTAAATGGCATGCAAAAGGTGGACTTAAACTGAATTAGGCAGCTCTCAACTAGGCCTAAAACAGCGGCCATGATGCTAAGGAATGAAGGCTAATTGACACACAAACATGCATGAAAACATGGACCAACACTCAAGCATTAAAAGGCAACTCTCAAGCACACTTGAAAGGATGAAAACATGGATACATGGCATGCATATAAGCTCTGAAATCGCATGAAGTAGAGGTGTCAAACCAACCAATTGAAGCAAGCAAAGCCAAAATTCAAG